GCTACTTGCGTTTAATGTAAAACGGCCTTTGAGTTCCACTTTTGTGGAAATACGGCTAAAACCAGCGGCTGAAACCGTCGTAAAAAATTACATTAGGATGGCCGCTCTCAGGTTTCTCTCTGTACATACTACAGTAATGTCACTGACCTCGGCCGCGTGGCCTTGGCGGGGTCATTGACCTCAGCCGCGCGGCCTTGGTGGGGGGGGGTCACTGACCTCGGTCGCGGCCTTGGTGGGGAGGGTCACTGACCTCAGCGGTGTTATTGACTTCGGTCACGTGATTACGGTATATATATAAATACATATATGCGTATGTGTGTGTATTATATATAGATATAGTATATTACATATAATATATATAATATAAGACGTATATATTATGTCATCGCGGTGACAGGTTGTGTTCACTGACAACACGTTAAATAAAAATAACAACAGCGTGCGCCCGTGTTGTGCTAGTGTTTCAAAAAGGAATAAAAAAATGTTTTTCTAGCACAAACATTTCGTGAAATATGTATTTATTTAGGTAAGTATAATTGGGAAAGAAAATTAATGATGAGCTGCTGCTTTTCTCATCTGTACCAAGATATTGCCTAGTTCCTCACGCTTCCTTTTTGCGCGAATATGTGTACCCAGCTAAAAAACAATAAAAATTGTATTTACATTGAACACAAGGGAAAAAAAGAAAAACTTAATACAGTTGTGATACAAGTCCATGAATTGTTTTTAGAATTTATACAATAAGAATATAAATTATATTTCTAGAAAACTAATCATGAATAAATTAAAATCAAAACACTTACTCGTCTCTTTAAGAATTTCAGAGCACGCTTGTCCTTGGAGACTTTCAGTAATTCCATTGCACGCTTCTCATAAGGAGCGTGTCCTGTCACTTCGCGAATTAAATCTCTCACAAATTTGCCATGCTTAGTTTGTTTCTACAATAGAAAAATTAACTACATTAATACAATAATCGTACATATGTATAAAGAAAAGAAAGATATCAAGACGCTTCTGCTCAATAAATTGTGACATTTCATATTGATCTAATAATGTTCTAATAGATGAAACATTCACAGAATTATACTAACTCCCTTGAGTCTTGATGGTCGAAGACAGACGGTCTTTTCCTTTTCTGATTTATTTTTAGCCACACGAATTTTTGTTGTTTTGTGGCCTTTGTTGAGACCAACTGCTAATTCATATCTCGGAGCCATTCTGCAAAACACATGGTCTTTATAGGTTATATTATCAATTATAATAAATTCACAAACATACGTGCAATTTAACAAATTACAGAAACACTTTTTAAGATTAGTTTTACTTCGATTTATATTCTTTCAGACAAAATATAGGAATATTTTTTAACTTAACTTTCACTAACCTTTAACTCGGATGCGACAGACAGAAATGAGAGATTCTCGATTCGCACACCTTCTCAAACAGGAAGTGACGAGCAAGAAGGAAAGAATGAAAGATGTGCTGCTGTAGTTCTCGCCAAAGTCCCTAAGACCTTTACACACAAATAACCATAAGAATTAGCCAATCATGAATTAAAATTCAATCAATCAGTAAAAAGAAAACCAATCTTAAGTTCAGTGAAATTCGTCCTGATTGGTCAAATTGCAATTTAATTTCAATCTGTAATGTAATACGTTTAAGTTTCATTTTAACGGACTATGAATACCAGCTTATAACATATTCGCATCAATTCTAAACTCTTTTTAGACAAAATTAGAAGCTATTTTTGACCGAATTTAACTATCAAAGGATCATTCTGTTTTAAAAATGTATGTGAGAGATAAGTAAAAAAATATTTTAAACTTACTTTGTAATTAATAGTTTTTATTTATTTCATAAAGTTTATATATATATATGTGGGTTTCTTAATATAATACATTGCACACAAAAAATTTTTGCATAAATTATATAACAACAAAATTTCTTACATGTATAAATAAATACTTTTTTTGACTCCAATTATCAGGTACAATGACCTGTAACTTTTTAATTTCAGTAGACAATATCTTAGTCATATAAATGTTTGATATATCACAAATAATAATTATTCGAGCAAAAAGAGTTTTGCTAATTTGGAAATAACTAACGCTCATACAGTTTTACTGTTGTGCATTAGTTCAACACGTTTTTGAAACATGTCTAAATATATATATATATATGTATATATATGTATATATATATAAAATATCTTTATATAATCTGAATCGAACATGTCATTATTTTAAACCTATATACTGTATAAAAAATATGTAGAAGAGAAGAGATAACATCTCTGATACAATATATGCACGCGCACACACATACTGTTACAATATCAATAATATGCATTATAAAATGCATATTAATACCAAAGTTCTCTCCTTATAATTATACTTATTAAACAATTAGCTTCGCTAAAACACTGACTAGGTCACGTAACGATTATAAAAGAATGTTTCTGACAGTAATAATTCTTTGCTTTCAGCAAAAAGTTACTTGTACAATGATAGGATACTTAATCATCACATCGCAGTTACAAAAGCAAATTACACATGTGAAACGCAGCACATTTTTTCACGGAGTGCTAAAAATATAAATATTTGCTTGCATAATAACAGAGTTTTAGACATGTGTAGAAGAAATATATACTATATCTTGTTTTTTTTTTTGTAGTCTTTGTATTACATATATCGGCAAGTTGATATATATTTAAAATATTCGAGATTAAAAACATATATTTGCGTAATAATAATATAATTGCAGTTTTTTCTAGCTAGTTATCTAATTTAATTATTGTTTCACAACACAATTTGTACTTATGTGTGTGTGAAATACACATGAACTATCTTAAATGCACAACCCACACATGTCTATCGCAATTAAAGTTAATATCACTGTAACGATGAAGAAGAAAAAGCATTTGCAGTCTACGTTATTGCATGAAAAGCCTTATTGTAATACGCAACCGCTCTCGTTTTTCGGTTCCTTATTACTTTGGTGAATTGCTTCTTCTTTAACTGGCGGCAGAGTTTGCTCCTTTTTTGGTTTCGCTGGCATCACTCCGGTTAACACTCTGTAAGTGTTCAAGTTCCAAGTGGAGCTCGGTGACGGCATTTGGAAGTCAATTGGACTGACCAAACCGTAAGTAGCTTTCTTATCCAAAGCTGGAACTTCTCCCGGTATTGTGTGATGATAGCTGATATTATTTAAATTGCAAATTATTTCGTTATTTGTGTTATAATTTTAAAACAATTATATACTATTATATATGTAAAAAATGATAAATAAAATACACAATACGTGTAAAAAAGGATAATTACATTAAACTGTTTTCTCGATTACATTTGTCGAGAGTGAGTTTTACTATTGGCGCTAAACGTCGGAACACAGCGTGTTGATCTGGTTTAACACGAGGTGCTGGTCCGTTGGTCTTCGCATATTCCTGACACAGCGCTTTCGCTTTCTTCAAACAGGATTCGCTTTCTTGCATCGCGCGTATCGCTTCGCCGCACTTATCCATTGCTAATAAATTTTCACCACAATAGTTATAAGCCTGAAAAAATGTATAAATGTGTTTAAATAGTAAATATCTTTTTTACAAGCACTTTTTAACAAACACTAAATATAATAAACGATCACACTGTTTTTTACATTTATAAACTTACATAAGACTGATAAAATGCTGCTTTAAATTCCAAATATTTTATCCATTGAGCAGATATTTCCGGCTTGAACGGACAAAGAGTGTTAGCAGCATCCAAGAATAATTTACTGGTCTCATTGGCTAAAGCTGATATTAAGCTGGCATTGTGTTTAAGCTCCACCGCTCTAGCAACTGTCACTGTTGTAAGAAAAAAATAGTCAAGTAAGCACAAGCGAGAGTAAAACTCTTTTCGAAATCATAAACTGGTGAGAATATATACCTTCTTGCGCTTCTGCTGTACATTGATTGACATATGCGTTCAGCACACGAGGATCTAAGTCGCTTCCCAAGGGAGGTGGTTTACTCAATTGTGGCAAAAACTCAGTTTGAACGAAGGTAAATATACCAGCTGCTCTTCTCAACATACCGTGCACATCCTTGGCCTCATTCATTGTTATGCTAAATTACAAGTAATAAATTACTTTTGGCTTACTTTTAATACAAGTTTTCAGTTAGCACTTACTCATCCTTTGCTGCAATCATTGCTGCATGCTTCATGAACCAGAGCCCTATGTTAACACTCATGTTGGCTGCTTCGTAAACAGCATCTGCAGCAGAGCTTAACAGAGAATTATATGTATTTTATTTAGTGCTTATTTTAGGATACAAACTATTTTATATGTTTCATTTAGGTGCTTTTGTAATTACTATGTATTTCCACCAAGCAATGTGTGAGTCCATGCAAATACAAGAACATTTCTGAGCTTGCTAGGATCTGGTCTGCCAACATGTTGAGCTTCTTCCTCCGAAGACCTAATTTCCCACAAGAATCCATACAACAAGCTGAGATAACTAAGGAATGCAGGATTTATGCTGTCACTACTATTGTTTGCATTTTTTATCAAATCCAAAAGTCTGGCTCTTGACAGCTTCAAATCACTGAAAACATGGAAAAACATTTTATATAAATTTAGATTTCCAAGATAAAAACTCGTAGCACATATCAAGAAACTAAAAGATTACATCTTACTGATATAAAACCTTTTATTTTTTTATTCAAAATGATAAATGTTCTTCAAAAGATAATCGTTATCAAAGTACATACAAAATTCTACAGCACTTCGACACTAATCACATATCTTTCTAATGAACTTGTCCAAAAACAGTGCGCAGTACTTTCTAAAAATATTTAACCTGCAGAGCTTCCTGGTGGCGTCTGTGGAATTCGCGATTTTTAGCTCGAACTTCTCGTTTGTCGTCGCTTTCAACACGTTGCGGTGAAACCAGTGCGCCATTGCGTCCCTGGAATCATAGAAGAATCTACGATCGAATTATGCAATCTGATTCTCTGAACTGCTGTCACTTTTGACAGATAAGGGCAAACTGAGCGGCTGGCGTCGCGCGACGCTACGCTCAATGGAAGATACTCCACTGTCTCTCCCGAACACTATGTCCATGAATGCGTGTCACGCGCGTACACATGTAGTAGTGTCGCCTATGGGTGTAGTGGTTTGCGTGTACTACAGGTAGTACAGTCGTCTCTTACGTGCAACTCCCGTCTCGTGTGTCAACGTTCCCCAGTGCGTGCGGAATTGTATTTATACCTGTATTTATCTTGGTGTTTCGTGAAAGGTAGGTAGTTCTGAGGGAACAATTCAATGTGTACGCACGAATAAACTAAAATAATATATAAAATGTGATCAAAATTATGCAACAAATGTCGCTCGTATAAATTGTCTCCCGGGAAGCTAGATTAGTTAGCTCTATGATCTAACCTGGATGCTATGTATGGTATGATTTATGAATATGTGTATACACATGAGTGGGAGACACATATATTATTAATGATAGTTTTATAAACTTACAATACTTTCAGTTTAAATTGCCATATGGCTATTTGTATCATTCAGTGGAAATTATACACATATAAATGTGTGTCCTTGAATGATAGTGATAGTTTGTTTCTGTGTGATATCTTCAGATAAATATTTGTAACTGATATAAACTCTTAAAGTATCTATCACTTCAAGAGAGATAAAGCAATTTAAACAGGATAATAATTAGAAAATAATATATGTTAATTATGTGAAAATTTATATATATTATTTAATCTAAATAATTTTGACACAGATGGGAGAGCCATCAGGATTGACTAACAGTGAAGCTCGCGAGCTTTGCAAAGCCCCAGATCCTGCAACAAGCAAATATATCATGCAACAAACAATGTATCGCATCAAGGATCCAAGAAGATCCTTGCCCTTTTATACCGAAGTTCTTGGTATGACCCTTTTACAAAAGTTGGACTTCCCAGAAATGAAGTTCTCCTTGTACTTTCTTGGATATGAGAATCAGAAGGACATACCAACCGACAGAAGAGAGAGTATTGAGTGGACATTTAATAGGAAAGGAACTATAGAGCTAACTCAGTAAATATGATTATGCATTGCGTATAATTTTGCTTGTATTTGTAAGAGTAATGTAATAAATACATCTGTTTTATATTTTTTAGTAATTGGGGAACTGAAACAGATCCAGATGCAAAATATCACAATGGAAACACAGATCCCAGAGGATTTGGTAAGGAAATAACAAAATATATTAAGAGAGAGATATATATTATTCTTAGAATAGTTTAGGTGTTTATGTCTCAAACAATTCTGCCTTCCAAGAAACAATATAAAATCTTACAATTATATTCACAAGTAATATGTGTAGTGTCTTTGCAACATAGGTCACATTGGAATAGCAGTACCTGATGTTGAAAAAGCATGCGAAAGATTTGAGAAATTTGATGTGGAATTCGTGAAGAAACCAAACGACGGCAAAATGAAAGGAATCGCGTTTATTAAGGATCCCGATGGTTACTGGATTGAAATCTTAAATGCCTCTCAAATTGCAAACATTGCGTTAAGTCATTAGCTTGTCTTGCATAAAAGCAACAAATCAATTAAACACTTGGTTTGCACATTGTATTGACATGTATTATTAAGTAATGAAAAATGCAATCCGAAATCACATACATGCATACACACACACACATACACATGTACACACACATTATTGAATTCAGTATATAGAACCAAAAATCTGCTATATAATTTAATAAGAGTGAAATATAATACGTATTTATATGTATACTATATATTTTGTAGTAAATGTACATTCTCTCCTCTCTATTGCATTGTGTTATATGAACGGAGTATGTAAAATGTTTACACATAATTCTCAACAAATAAAAAATCAAAATATTTATTTTTTATTTACATATAGTCATCATTTTATTCCATACAAAAGAAGAGATTTATAAACTCGGTTAAAAAAAAAAAAATACCAAACGCGCGCGAACGTAAAACTGTCAAAAGTAATGGATCAGCTGTTGCGTGACGTTGTTTTTTCAAATAGCTAATTGTAATCCGAAGAAAACAATAATTGACGCAACTTTGAAAAATTAAGCGTTCCTGAGATAAGTGTATGTGTATTATATATATATATACACACACACACATATACACGTATATGCGAACGTTGTGTGGGTAACAGCTAGGAATGTCTTTTACTACCAAGCTCTCCGAACAAAATAGAGAGACGGCACATTACCGTATATGACGTTACGCGTTGTGTCACCGTCATATGCAATAGTGAACGAGTTCCCGCAATTTTTCTTGCTGCTGTTTTCTGCTGTACTCTCTATTAATATATTTTTTTGTGGGTGGCGACATTACAATTGTATACTTTTCTTATTTTCAATGTGCGCTTCTGGATTTGAGGTTACACTGTCAGCCGCAAACTGAAGCAGGTATATCTTAATAGGTGCGTGATTTTGTAGAAAATGTTATTATCCACTCTAATGCCGTTTTTAATGATCTATCGAGCGTGTATTACACCGGTCGATTCTAATTAAGATAATAATAATTATATTTCTTCGTAATTTCTTTATATTCTATCGCAGTAACAAGATATCTGTTATCATTATGTGATCTTTCAGGTATGGTAGAAGATAAAAAGTATGAAATCGCAAGCCGTATCGAGTGTGACGGATATCGGGGCACATTAAAGTACGTCGGACCTGTTGGTAATACAAAGGGAGAGTGGTTAGGCATTGATTGGGACGATTCAACTCGCGGTAAACATAATGGCACATACGAAGGAGTAGAGTATTTTCAAGCCAGGTAAAGTACACAAAATGATCGATTTGTATCAATAACAAGAGACATGTGAGTTGTATTGCTTTAATTTGTTCTACGTGATCCCTAATAGACATTCCACATCAGGCTCTTTTATACGACCAGGCAAAGCTAAATTCGGAATATCTTGCTCACAAGCTATTAAAATGCGTTATGGGTTAGTAGATGATGAATTGGCAGGCATCGACAGGGATGAGGTGTCGAGTTTGAGAAAGGAAATCAACGCACCGTTCTTAGAGCTTGTTGGTTTTTCCAAAGTGAATAAGAAACAAAGTAAATTTGATCAATTGAAAATAATATGGCTGAGAGAACAGTGTGTGAGCAGTGCAGGAGAGCCAGGAGAATTGGAGAAATTGTGTCCGAATTTGGAAGAACTGGATATATCTAGAAATTTAATAAATTCGTGGAAGATTGTTGCGGATATATGTTGTCAGCTTCATTCTCTTGCACGCCTTAATGTTAGGTGAGGCATTAGATTTGTTTTTTTTTGATCGTTTTAACATTTTTTATAATTTACAGGATCAAATAGTATATGTTAACAATTGTAGAAAAAATAATAATATATAATTACATGTAGACAAGGTGTGTATAATATCAACAAATCATTGGATTTTTCTTTTGCAGTGAAAACTATTTGCCAATTGAAGAAAATATGACAACACTAAAAGACTCATTTGTAACGGTTAAGCACTTAACTATAGCTAGAATGAATTATAATTGGTCTGATATTCAACAATGTATAATTATGTTTCCATCACTTGAAGAACTTTCAGTTTCTTTTAATAATGTTACAATAATAGACGACATATTATCCAATTCTAATTTAAATAGGATAGTTACATTAATTCTTGAGGGAAATTTGCTTGCGAATTGGAACGAAATACACAAATTGGGTTCTCTTCCATGGTGAGTCACGTCGGAAAAGTGTAGAAATATCTATTTTACGTAATATTTAAATGAGTTTTTTTTTTGTTTTATAGTCTGGAATATCTTAATTTAAATTCAAACAAAATAGATAAAATTAAATTTCCGACGTCAGCCAGTAAGGTGGCTTTTCCTGCCTTGCGACAGTTGCATATTTCGGAAAACCACATATCAGAGGTAATACATTCACTCAGAATGCATGTAATGTCAATGGAATTTGTGTTTATGTTAAAACTTTACAAATTTAATCGCTATTTGATTCGATTTTTTAGTGGCAGTCAATTAGTGAATTAGACAAATTGCCAAATCTAGAAGACTTAAAATTCCGAGACAATCCCGTTTTGAAGAATGAAACTATAGAGACCGCTCGGCAATTGATAATTGCAAGAATAAGTAAACTGAAAATTCTGAATGGAACAGAAATACTTCACGACGAGAGAAGAGGCGCCGAGTACGATTACTTAAAATTGTACTTGCCAAAATGGTTAGAAAGCGAAAATGATCCAGAGAAAAGAATATCATTTATAAGTGAACATCCGCGATATCCTGCCCTAGTCGATAGTATGTACAAATTTTATTCTTCATGTTAATAAAAAAAAATTGTTAACTGTATTTTTTTTAAAGTTAAAACTTTTCTACTCTTAGAATATGGAACTGCAGATATTCCTTCGGCTAAGCCTAAAGTAGAAATGGTTTCTAATGTGATAACGGTGGAATTCGTATGCCCCGACGATCCACGTCAGCCTAGAGGAATTAAAAGAAAACTACTTAAGGACATGGAAGTTCAAAAAATGATCGGGCTTGCTCAGAGACTTTTCAAAACCGGTGGAAAAATACCTGCTCTCTCGTTTATTCCACGGAATGTAAGTTTAACGTACTTACTGATGATTGTGTGTAATAATTTATTTAGTTACAAAAACTCGATTTGTAATTTTGTGTTAACTTTGTAGCTATCAAATGATGAAATTTCATTGGACAAACCGCTGCAAGAACTTAGCTATTATTCAATACAAGACGGAGATCAAGTTCTCGTGAGATGGTGATATTGAATAAATTATTTATTAATACGATTGTATTTTTTACGCTGTTAAAATTTGCTCTATGATATTTTGTTATTAAAGTCTTTTTAATTGTATTACGTTCTCTAAATGTTCTTTGTAAGAAATTAACCTGATTGAGAGAGACCATTTTTCGAAACGTATGAGATACACTTCTCGATCCAACGAGAAAAAATACTTTAATTGGATGGAAATTAGAAAAGTATATAAATTGTATTCTATATCTTTACGATATACACAATTGCAGTCGAAAGCACAAATTCATAAATAGGTATTTGCACAACAAGGAGTCAGATTATCTAGTCCAATCTCTCGATGTTGCGCTTTTATCAGGTTTGCTGCGCTTTCTCTTCAATCTTGGTAGCTTCTTCTTTCTCAAGTTGTTCTCTTGTCAGCAATGACAATCCGAGTTGATCCTCACGTGTAAATGGCTGTGCCATTTGCCGTAACCATCTTTTACTGATCTGAAAATTCGTAAAATAAATTTGTAGCTGCGAATTATATATAAATCACTCTAATCGCATCTGCTTTTCACCAAACAAGAAATACAGTTACCTGTATAGCTTCTTCGGTGGATAAGTTGCATAAACTATCGGTCAAATGTTCTTGTATCCATTTCGGTAATTTACTTCGTTTATCTATTCTCGAAAATCTCTGCAATGACGAAAAACCATTTATATATAAATATATAATTTAAATACATTTTTAAAACTGTGGTCTCAAAAGGTTTACCTTGTCCGCAAACACCATAATACCGTAATCTGTCTTGCCTCTGATTGCACGTCCTACACATTGAGCGGCGTGCCTCATGGCATCGAAAGTTAAGAAATCATTTTCTCGAATCTGCAAAAATGTTTATGTGTGATAAAATGGCTATTTTATTTAAATATAAAAATTTATAAATAACATATTAATACTTTAAAAATATTTTACACATATATTTTTGACTTACTTGAAACTGATCTCTAAGATATTCCAAACGCGCTTTCAAGATTCTCGATTGCGTATACACGTATGGTATGCCGAACATCAATACAGCTCTACCCAAATGATGATCGAAATCGACACCTTCCGACACTTTTCCGCGAGCCACCGACAAAAGAACGGCTCCTCTGCCGTTTTCGCAGGCCTTTATGTAATTGATTAAAGCAAAACTGGTTTCCGCCGAATCTTGAGTCTCGATAAAAAGTAATTTATGTCTCTGAAGTTGATCAACAACTCCTTGATCGTACCTTGATATCGAATTAACACATAAAACAATCAGAGTTATTCCATGAATTATTGCACAAACTTTGATACAATTATGTACATACCAAGCAGCCACTACAGATTCCATATACAAGTACGATGTGAAAAAGCAGACCAAGCCGTCGGGTACAGTCGCAGCGAATTCGACTAATAGTTGACCGTAATTTCTTATTACAGCCACATCTTCTCGTGTCTCGTATTTCGACGAAATTGCCACTTGATCATTGCCTTTCGCAACAATCTGTTGATGTTGAGAATACAAAAATTTGTTAGATTGGTGATAAAATATCTGTTATTATCTTTGATATAATTTTTGCTTTTACTCACCATAGGCAAAAGACACGGTCTCGCCAATGTCATAGTGAACGACGACATTATAACTGGATGAAAGTTTAAGATTTTGGGATACATATCCAACGGTGACAGTGTTCCAGAGGTGATTATTACAGATTGAAATCGATCGAATATAGGCTTGATAGCGATGGAAGAATCTAAGCAGCTAAACTGCAATATCGGATTCAAAACTGTCGGCGTTTTATCGTCAAACGGTTCTATTATAATTGTGAAACCCTGCGTGTACGTAGAAACCAACGTAGCAAGGTGCGTAACCAAGATAATCGGTGAGAAATCGGTTAGATCTGTTATCTCCATTGTGCGCAAAAGAGACGCCAATCTTTGAGCACAAAATCGCAAAGGTTTTCTCTCGATAGCAACTTTCACTTGGATGTCCTTTAGAAACGCCGCGGGTGATTCTTGAATAACGTGCTGAACTCGTAGGCGAGTTTTCAGGTACTCGACGAATCGCTTCAAGAAGCTGACAAAGTGCTCAGCGTTCCTTATGTTACCCGGCACAACCTCTGCAAGTAAAGACTAAGATAGAGGAAAAAACAGTTTGCTAAATAGAAGATATATCTCAAGAGATTTTACTTAACCTTCGAGTATTTCATTCGGTAAAATTGGATTGGCTAAAATAACATCCGTTTCTCTCTGGAGTTGGGCGTCTCTCAGTCCCTCGACGAGTCTGTCGTATTCTTCCTTCAACTTGTTCACATCGTCATCTCTCATCCTAAATCGAAGTTAAAAAATATATACGTCTCACTGTATGAAAAATCTAAATGTGTGATATTTAAAAATGTTAGAGATTCATGGAACACATTCAAGTTCTTACTCAGCCACAGTTTTCTCTAAGAGTTGTATATTAGCCGAACTCTTCTCCATTGTTTTCCTATTTATCTTTACACTCATAGAATCGATGCAGACGTTATCTAAAACGTACGATATATATTTCTTTATTTGTACTATAAATTAATCACGTGATGGGCCGCAACTTTGAATGAATGAACGTATTTTCGATTCTCATACCAATGTTGTGAGCTTCGTCAAAAATGACTACCGAACTCTTGCTTAGTTCTTTGGAAACAGTTTCCGCGATCTTTGGATCTAATAAATAATGGTAACTGTACACTACGATTTGTGCGTGCAAGATCTAAAAACGAATATCAATTATCAATTTTATACATCTCAAATTAAGTGCGAATCATATTGACGCATCATGTGTGTCATGAGATTTCTTACTGTGAATCGGGCTAAAAAGTAAGGACACCAGTTACGATCTCTTCCGTAGTCTTTCAAATCGTCAATGGAGTAAATACCAGGTGGAACAATTTGTTCTCTGCCTTCCATATCAAACCCTTCATAAAAATTGCAAATAGGAGTGGACTCGTCAAAATTGTGTCTCTCCCGTACATACGATGCCGTAAGAGAATGACATCGCCCATCCACAATTTTACCTTCCCGCTCTCTACTAACCTGTAAAGATATGACATCATTAAAACATTTTTTGAAAAAGTTTTAACAAATAATTAAAACCAATTTTTACTTTATTTGATTGTGAAAATATTTAATATATTACCTCAGGATGAATACACATATTTTTACGTGAACTAAGAACTAAACCAACAATTTTTGGCTTGCTTTTGGTTTCTTTTTCATAATAGTCTATAAGTTTTTTCAATTCTTCTATAACTTTCTCTATTTCCGGTACCGTTCGAGAACAGTAAATCAATTTTGTAACATCCAACGGATGTTCCAACATGTATGCTACAATAAGTGATAGCAAAGTAATTGTCTTGCCAGTGCCTGAAGGCATTTCCAACAGACAATGACCCTGAAATATGCACATATTTTAATTTCTTGATATTTAAAAGTGATACAGTGAAGTGGTTTCTAAAAAAAAGAAGAGTGAAAAAAATACCTTGGCATCCAAGCCACGCTTGAGTTCAAGCATGTATGCATATTGTTCAGGGTAGATGTAATCGTATGGGAAATAAACTATCAATCCGTCAACACTTATTCTGTGGAAAAAGTGAAATAAAAAATGTTAAATATATGTAGATGTAAAAATAAATAAATCCTCATCTGATGTTGTTGCTTACTTCATATTGATTTGCTACATATATTTATCTATACATTCACAATGTAATTTTACATATATGTAGTTTTATATTGATGTAATTACAGTTACATAGGTATCATAAAATTTTTTTGCACAAAATCTTTTTTTAATATAACAATTTATTGTTACTTCTCGATTCTAAATTAGGTTATACATATATAATTTCTATTGTGATATCGTTTAGTGACACACAGTAGTTACTGAAGAAAATTTAAAATGTTACAAGAAGAAAAAATTAGACACGTTCACAAATACAAGTGTTAAAAAATTTACAAGTAAACGTTTTCTTTATTCTGTCACGTTAAATCTCTCTTCAAAACTTGTACTAAAGAAGATCAGTCAACAAGCACGTTCGCTTTGGACGCTCACCACGCGCTTTTTGAGAGCGTCAGTCTATCTTCGTCCTACAGTTAAAGAGAGAATAAGAGCGGACTGACCCAAAACGAACGCATTTTGTACTGTAATAATCACTAGCATGATCACCAATAGCACAAGGAGTACATATTCTGCGCATCGCATAATCAACCAATCACGACAGACGAAGCAGGAATATTCGTTATTCTAAACATGTAATATTTTGATTGGTTAATTTTCTAATCGCATTGATCGATTGATCGAATTATTTGAATGCTATTGGTCATTAGTTCTCTCCCCGTAGTACACAACGCGTCACTGAATCGCGGAATAGGCGCGGGGATCGGGGGGCAAGCGGGGCGGTTGCTCGTAGCGCCAACGAGCGCCGTGCGAACTAACTAGTAGCA